ACTCTCTCTCTCACTCACACACACACACACACTCACACACACACACACTCACTCACACACACACTCACTCACTCTCTCACACACACACACACTCTCTCACTCACTCACTCACTCACTCACACACACACACACACGCACACACAGACACACACACACACACACACACACATTATCTCTCTCTCTCACACACACACACACACACACACACACACATTATCTCTCTCTCTCACACACACACGCACACAGACACACACAGACACACTCTCTCATATAAGAAGGCTTTTATATGCAGCTCCATCAGATTGGAATCTTCTTCAATCAAAACTGAAATTACCAACTTTGTTGTCTTTGGATCATTTTAAATCAGATATTCTGCAAATGGAAGATGACTCAATGATGTGTCATTTTTTTAAGTGTTCTTAGTTTGTTTTTTTGTGATGAAACTAATTATATTGCTGCTCATTGTGGCCAGGACACTCCTGTGAAAGAGATTTTTCATCTCAGAGAGGCTTTTCTGGTTAAATAAAGGTTATATAAAAAAAGCTTTTTGTTAATATTTTGAATTGGTTTTAATTCATTTTAGTTAAAGTTTTAGTAATTTTGTTGTTTTTGCATTTTTAGTGGTTTTTGTTTAAAAATAATTGTATTCATTTTTGTTGTGGTTGTAGTTATTTTAATACACCAAGATAAACTAAATGAAAATAAGAACAACAGCACATTGTACAAATTATTTAGTAATTAAGTACGTAAAAAATAAAAAATCCTATTTCACTTAACTTTTAGTTCAATGTGTTACTTGCTGTTTTTTGTAATTATTTGTAAAAGAAAAAAGAAAAAAATTACTAGCAGTTTAAAAGTGAAAATGAAGTTTTTAGTGTAGAATTTACTTTAACAATTTTTCATTTCTAAATTGTTAATGAATTTCACAAATGACTAAGCAACAGCAAGTAATGCTTAGGAAAACAGTGTGGAACAGAATTGTTCATATATACAAGTCATCAGAAATGTTATTAAATGGTAATTAAAGTGTAAATTGTTAGATTTAATTAGATACATTATTTGACTTCGAAAGCAAAACATAAATTAGTTGATTCATGAAATTTTGAAATAGAGAGAATAAGCTCACACGTCAGTTTATTATAAATGTCACTATAATACTAAAGATCATTTTGACTTGTGAGGGAGAGAGAGTGAGTGAGTGTGTGTGTGAGTGTGCATGTGTGTGAGTGAGAGAGTGTGTCTGTGTGTGTCTGTGTGCGTGTGTGTGTGAGAGAGAGAGATAATGTGTGTGTGTGTGTGTGTGTGTGTGTGTGTGTTTTATTTTTTTGTTTAAAATAATTTATTGTTGGAATGGAAAATGTTTGTGTCTGGATTTCTATCTTGTGCAACTATATAATTGTATATTTATTTATTTTTTTAATTTATAGTGTCAGTATAACTGGGCGTGTGGTGATTGTTATTATCACTGTTTGGACTCTAAATGAGGTGTTTTCATATTTGCTGGTACGTTGTGTGTGTTGTAAGCATGAGGAAGGTGTGCATGATTTATTTTTCTAGTTTCTATTGGAAGAAATAAGTACAAATTAACTATTAACTGTTTAATCTGTTAAACTAAATTAGTGTTTTTTTCTGTTTTTGGCAGATGATTTTTGACCAGAGGCACATTGTTGTCCAGCAGTTTTTAATAAATCGCCGCAGGCTTTGCTTTAACAGCATAAGCCCTCTCAGGACCGTAATGTGTAATTAGATCTTAGTTAATTGCATTTGAATTTACATTTGACGCTTTTATCCAAAGTGACTTGTATTGCATTAAAGGTATATATTTGATCAGTTCATGCATTCCCTGGGATTCGAACCCATGACTTTGGTGTTGCAGCTATGCTGTACTCAAAAATGTTTTTTTTAAGCACCAAAACCTTTATTTAAAGTGTAATTTTATAGACCTGGAAAATATTTTTTTATAATCCAATATGCTGTACATTTTTCTGGTTATGTCAAGCTTAACAATATTTTATCTGGTGGAAATTGCAATTTGTGAGTAAAAAATATATATATAAATAAATCCTAGTAATCACAAACAGCTGAAAAAGTAATGTCTTTGGTAAGAAAAAGTGTAAAACTGCTTTTTATTAAAAGTTATTTTTCTAGACCTGGAAGAGAATGTTTTATAATCCAATTTACATTTTCCTTTTTTTTCCACCTAAATTTTCTAGTTCCATCAAATTCTAAAATATTTTATTTGGTAAAAAAAAAATGCTATTTTCAAGTATGTTTCATTGATAAAAGGTGAAAATGCTTCTTTTGCATTTACATTTATGCATTTAGCACACACTTTTCTCCAAAGTGACCTACATAGCATTTCAGGTATGTATAGTATTTGATCAGTTCATGCATTCTCTGGGAATCGAACCCGTGACTGTTTTGGAAGCTGTGACTATGTGAAGTGTGTGTGAACAGTGGCACTGTATTGAGCTGCTCTCTCTCTGCATTGCAGTGCTAAAGATCCGGATTACTGTCACTGTCAGTGTCAATGTCAGATTCACGCTTCTCTTGCTCAGAGCAGACGTTTAGACTGAGAAATGGAGAAAGAGACAGACTGTTAAAGACCTTGTTCCTCAAAGGAATAATCCGGGTTCAGTATGTGTGTACCGACAGCATCTGAGACACACGTGCCGTTATAAAATCCTTTCCACTCAGTCTTCAGTTTATAAATACAAACTGAAATTTACAGTAAAAATTGGAGGGTTAAATATGAAGCTCGTCAAGTCACATTTATTTTTGAAATATATTTATTTTTGAAATATATTTATGAAATATATATATTTATTTTTTAATTTTTTCTCTTTAAAATACAGCTTTACGAAAATAAACAGGAAAATAACATTGTTAATATTGCGGAATTCATCAATTATGACATTAATTCAATTTTAACTGTGAGCAGCTCCACAGAAGACAATTATTCAGATCATTATTCAAGTCATCATTCAGATCAATTCAGTTCAGTGTTGATTCAGTTCAGTTCAATGTTGATTCAGTCAGATCAGTGTTGATTCAGTTCAGTTCAGTGTTGATTCAGTTCAGTTCAGTGTTGATTCAGTTCAGTTCAGTGTTGATTCAGTTCAGTTCAGTGTTGATTCAGTTCGGTTTAATGTTGATTCAGTTCAGTTCAATGTTGATTCAATCAGTTCAGTGTTGATTGAGTTTGGTTTAATGTTGATTCAGTTCAGTTCAATGTTGATTCAATCAGATCAGTGTTGATTTAGTTCAGTTTAATGTTGATTCAGTCAGTTGAGTTTTGATTTAGTCAGTTCAGTGTTGATTGAGTTCAGTTCAATGTTGATTCAGTTCATTTTAATGTTGATTCAATTCAGTTCCATGTTGATTCAGTTCATTTTAATGTTGATTTAGTCAGTTCAATGTTGATTCAGTTCATTTTAATGTTGATTCAATTCAGTTCCATGTTGATTCAGTTCATTTTAATGTTGATTTAGTCAGTTCAATGTTGATTCAGTTCAGTTTAATGTTGATTCAATTCAGTTCCATGTTGATTCAGTTCATTTTAATGTTGATTTAGTCAGTTCAATGTTGATTTAGTCAGTTCAATGTTGATTCAGTTCAGTTTAATGTTGATTCAGTCAGTTCAATGTTGATTCAATCAGTTAAATGTTGATTCAGTTCAGTTTAATGTTGATTCAGTCAGTTCAATGTTGATTCA